GAGATTAATGTACTAAGTAATAAGGATTTATAAATATTGGAAATACTGAATATTTGTATAACCTGGAGGTCATTATATCTGCAGTGCAGAAGCCTAACAAAGCAGTATGAAACAAAAACAAGAAATTATTTTAACAAATTTAAATGCTTGTCTACATAATTACATCTTTTTTGGCAAGTAAAACCATAAATAAATATAAAATACAAATGATAAACAGTTGCAATATATGCTGGACACAGGGATATCAACTCTAATATCTGAGCTAGTTTACAAATTTAAAAGAAAATAGAAAAAAATAGGTGAAGGATGGGCAAAGTGATTTTTGAAGGAGACATAGGAATAGCTAATACTAAATATGCATGAAAGGACGCTAAACTTCAGTAGTAAAAAAGGGGGAATGATTTAAAAATGTAAGATGGCACTTTTCCTTAGAAACGTTGCCAAATTAAAATGAATCAGTAGTGTACAGCATGCCAGGAAGGGAACTTAGTTCAACCAGTTTGATGTGGATGTTCTATTTCTAAGGTACTAGCTTATAAAAATACTGGTAAAATTGCAAAAAGTAGATTTCAAAGGATACATTTTATAGGAGTATCTATAATAGCAATAAGCTATTAACTACCTAAAGATCGATTATTATGTGGAAAGAATTGAGTAAATGATATATCACACACTACTATGAGATATCCTGTAGCTGCTTTTAAAATGATTTTCTTTTGAATAGGAAAAAGAACGTTTCACAATAATACATGTAGGATGATTTCATTTTGTAAGACACTTAAAGTATACACATTCACAGAAAAATTACTAAGAATACACAAAGCAAATAAATAATCATGCTTACTTCTGTCCAATGGGATTAGCAGGGGAATATTTTCTATTTTTGCTTAATAAACTCCTGCCTTTTACTGTTTCAATAAGCATTTATTTTTGCAACAATAAATAAGTATACACTTGCCACATAGAATTTGAACTATATATAGAAAAATAATATATATAATATACAGATATATAAGGAAACAGAAATTTGAAATTCCATTAAACAGAGGTAATTATAGCATGTCAATACTCTTCAGTCCTTGGTTAGGCATTTTAAACATATGTTAGGTCTCACTCTACATAATTCTGGGATGGCTTCTGAATATATTTCTTCTATATTAAAAACATTTTAAAATTTAACTGATTTTTTAAAGTATGCGATATTCACTATTTAGAACCTCCTTTCTCAATTCTGATGGACATTATTCCTCAATCTTTTATATGCATATATTTGCAGCCTAAATAATATATTAAATAGTTCTGTATGTGTGGGAATAATATTTAAAAGATATCCTATTACATGTGATCTTTGTATTTTAAATTAACCTTCTAGAAGTAAAATTTACTATCATGTGTGTGTAGATATAGTACAGTCATGTCATTTCTATATAATAATCCATTGTTTAAATATACTGCGATTTATGCATTTTCTGTTTGGGAAGTTTTCTACTAACATGTTACTGCATATCTTCTGGCTATGTTTCTGAGGCTATTTATAAAGTTTCCCTTCTACAAAACATGATTATACATACTACCACCTGTCCTATTCCTCTCACTCATGAGACCTTGTGATTATATTCCTTTTTCAGTAAATATGCTTCTAGAGTATAAATTTAAATGGCTGGAACATACACCTACATATTGTTATAATTTTGTTTTTTGTACTGGGGATCAAACTTATGACCTTGTGTTCGCCAGGCAGGTGCTTACAACACTGAGCTAAATCCCTGGCCCTATTGTTAAAATTTTTAATCACTCCCAATTACTAAATACCTGGATTGTTTGTAATGTTTTGCTATGATGCACAGTTTGTTGTACTTGCTTATTGGTCAGTAATTCTTTTTAGCTATTTATGCTAAATAAATCATGATTCCCCATTATGTGGCCTTGAAGCCTTATAAAGTTTTCATTTATTAATTGGAATGGCTTTATTCTGGGCTGCTTGATATAGAAATATTTGAAGCTATAATATATGAAGTTATATTCAAATATTGCAAGGAAAAAGACACTATGGTAACTACTATTAAGTCGGGTTATTTGGTGGTGAAGCACTAGGTTGCTGAAACAGTCATGCTTTGACCTGTATTGTTATGTTGTTATGTCCTCTTTTATCTCAATCTCTCCCTTATTCATTAAAAAAATTATTTAGTTAAAAAAATACATCTGAACAAATTTATACACAATAATGTAGTAGGCCACCACGTAGGATGATATGGTTTGGGTCCTGCACAACTTTTACAATGCATGTACTCATCACAGAAAGTTTGTATAATACCAAAGTTAGAAGAAACTTGATGCTCGCTAAAAAGACACAGAGTACAGAAATTATATGTTAAAATTATAACAGTTTTACAGTTACTGACATGGAAAGTTACTCACAACTTACTGCTAAGTTAAAGACATAGCTCAAATGATATAAGGATTCCACTTTGCAAAAGAAAATAAACATACCTATGCAAGAGTCTAAAACAAAACCAAGCTCTTTATGGTGATTATTTCTGAGCATTGAGATTATTTTAAATGTTCATTTTTTCACTTTCTTTAAATTTTGAAATATTGTCAATGATAAAAATTGGTTGCATGTACAATAAAACATAAATAATTTGTGGACAATTATTGACATAATTTGCCTGAATAGAAAATACCTGTACATTGTAAGAACACTGGGTAAAAAAAAATAAAAACTGAGAATATAAAGAAGAAAACAATATCATATATAATCCTGCTCAGCCAGTGATAAGTACTTCACAATCTCCAGTCTGTTTATTTGTAGTCATTTGTTCCTGGTTATCTATTTTAAAATAGTTGAGACCATATTTTAAATCATCGTGTGTTGATTTTCCACTGAATATTGTATAATGAGCATGCCATAAATATTTTAACATAATAATAATACATCATATGTGAATAGCACATTTATTTAATCATTCCTTTAAAGCAAGACACAAGTTTTTCTGTTATTTGCTAACAAATAAGCATGTGAGGAACTTTTTTTACATACATTATCCAAATTTTAAATAATTTCCTTTGGTAGATTCCTTAAAGTGAAAATGCTAAGTTAAAGCATACAAATATTTTTATATTCCTTAAGAATGGAGTAATAGCAAAAAAAGAACAGTCCAAACGCCTGTATCCCACACTCACTGTCATTATTCTGAGTAGGTAAAACTGACAGGAAAAAAAAATCTGCCCTATCTAAATCACGATCTTGTTTTGGTAACATCCTTTCAGAGTCACCATGAATGTTACTTCCTCAAGAACGATTTCCTTCACTTTCTGAACTCTCACAGATTCTATCCTTATTTTTTCCTTAATGTTCTTGCCATAATTAATGAGTAATTGTTCAATTATTTACCCATTGTCTTTATGCCCTCCAGCTAATTTTAAGCTTCATTTAAACAAGCCTGGCACACAGTTGGCACTCAATATATATTTGTTGAATGAGTGGATGCATAAATGAAGTGATGGCACTTTGTAAGCTGTAATTCAGAAGGAAATCCTAATTATTATTGTTTTTATTCCTTTCTATTACCTTGCAGATGATTCTAGACCGTTAGAGATTTCTTCCCTAAGCAGAACTTCATTGTGTGGCTTTAATGTTGGCTTTAATGTTGTTCATACCAGTCTGAGGCATGAGTGCATTGCTGGAAGTGCGTGGTGAGAGCAAAGACTTGGAGAACCAAGCAGTTAGTTCTCTAGATCAACATGCTGGGATTTAAGGAGATGTAGTGACCATTAGCTGAATGCAAGGCAGTGGTCAGAGCCCAAGGAAGTCATTAATATGTGAAGAAGCAGTTGGATCCTGGAGGTCAAAAACAAACTAATGATAAATGGTTTGGACAGTAAAGTTCAAATAGGGGAGGTCAGAGATAAAGGATTAAAGTGGATGGAAAAGTTAAATTCCAAGCACCCGTACTCAAAGCATGAAACTGTGAATATGACTGTAAAGCAAAGGATGTGTGAAGTCAGTGTTCCTTTATACTCTTCCTGTCAAAGCTAAATGTGGTATTAAGAAGCGATAGCATCCATTTCCATACACCTGAGCAAAGGAATGGCAACAGCTGGTTGAGGAATGCAAGCTTTGAACTAGAATAGGTTCTAATAGTGACAGAATAAACAAGATCATTTGTATGCATGATTTTATATTTGAAGCACAGTATGGGGCCGATCAAAATTGTCTCGTAATTCTCATCTTGATGTTCAATAGCAGATATTAGAACACAGTGGTTAAGTTCATGGACATGAAACAGATTACAAAGTTCAAATTCCAAATTATTAGTTGTGTCATTTGGACACATTATTTCAACTGTGTGTCAGTTTCCTCATCTGCAAAATGGGGATAATGATAACATCTATCTGAATTGGTGATTGTAAAGACTGAAAGAGTTAATATATGTAAGGATCTTAGAACAGTGCCTGGACACAGCAAATGCTATTTATTATTATTATTAGTAGTAGTAGTATTACACATAAAAACAAGTAAAAATTGATGTTATTTAGATATCAAATCAAATATACTGTATATGAATTTTATCTAAAATAATAGTCCCCATGGATAAATTTTTTCATAGCAATACAATTTCACTTATACCTAAGCATAGTTGACTCAAGAAACTATAAGCAAAGAAAAGTTGTAAAATTTACTGCAACAACTTGTTTATTCTGTAAAGCATTTTCCTGAACATATGTTAAATAGTTGTAGAGCACAAATATACATTTTATAATATCAAAAACATAATTAAATTACAGTTGATATGCAAATTCTGGCCTGTAAGAAGACCTGTCCTAGTAAATTTTTGAAGCTAATCATACTAGAAGCAGGAATACATGAGTTAGTGACATCCCTGTGGGAAGATCTGATATGGGAAAGCTTGGACCCAGGAAGATTAGATTTGGGAAAGCCTTAATCTATAAAAAGGTTAGAAGACCCAGACTATAGAATAAACTTGAATACCTGGATATTGCAGACAGTGGAAGACCTGGATATTTTAAGGCCGGTACAGTGGAGATGTTGGAAGACGTGGATATTGAGCCTGCTGATGAAAGACTGGATAGTTGTAGGAAGACCTGAAGATGCTGGAAGATGTGGAGACGGTGGAAGACGAGCAGACGCTGGAAGCCCTGGAGATGCTGGAAGCCCTGGAGGTGTAGGAAGACGTGGATTAGATGGAAGGCGTGTCTTCGCCGGAAGACGTGGATTTTCTGGAAGACATAGCTTTTTGGGAAAATGTAGGAAGGCCAGAAAACATGAAAGTGATGGAAGACGTGGATTTGTTGGAAGACGAGGATTTCCTGGAAGACGTGGATGTTCTGGAAGCTATGGATTTGAAGGAAGACATGGATTTTCTGGAAGGCGTGGCTTTTTGGAAGATGAGGATTTTCTGGAAGACCCGAATTCTCCGGAAGACCTGGATTATTTTGGAAGACATTGATTTGCTGGAAGACTGGAAGGTTCATGGAAGACATGAATTTTCTGGAAGTCATGGATTTCCTGGAAGACTTGAGTCTTCAGGAAGACATACATTGGTTGGAAGACTTGGAGATTCCTGGAAGACATGAATTTTCTGGAAGACGTGGCTTTATTGGAAGAGCTGGATTTAGTGGAAGACACAGATTTTGTCTGGAAGACACAGGTTGACCGGAAGACTTGAGTTGGTGGAAGACATCCGTTAGTTGGAAGACCTGGATTTTTCTGGAAGCATGGATTAATTGGAAGACCTAGACTTGGTGGAAGACATAGATTTTTCTGGAAGACATGGACTGGCTGGAAGACCTGGATTTCTTTCTGGAAGACAATGATTAAGAGGAAGACATGGATTTTTCTGGAAGACTTGAATTGATTGGAAGACTTGGATTTGGTGGAAGACAACATTTTCTTGGAAGACATAGAGTCACAGGAAGACCCTGAAATTGTTGGAAGACATGATTTTTTCTGGAAGACATGCATTCTCTTGGAAGAACTGGATTTGATTATGGAAGACGAGATTTACTGGAAGACATAGAAGATTCGGGAAGACATTAATTTTCTGGAAGACATGGATTTCCTGGCAGACATGAATTTTCTGGAAGCCCGAGATTGTCTGGAAGACCTTGAAATCGCTGGAAGACTTCGATTTGCTGGAAGATCTTGACACTGGCGCCATTGGAAACCCTGGACATTGGAAACATTGGAAGCACAGGATGTTGGAGGCATTGGAAGTCTTGTAATTTGGATACACTGTTTACTCTGGACATTGCAGGTTTTGAATACCCCGAACACTGGGATATTGAGTACATGAAGCCACAGACACTGGAAGCTTTGTATACTAAAGGCATTGTAAGTTCTTTATCTTGGGGCCCCTGAGAATATGTTGGATATAGGAACTAAAGGACCAACATTTATGATTCATAAAATCAGAAGGCCTAGATACTGAAAGGTACTAGAAAACACGAATACTGATGTATTCCTGTCAAGGGACATAGAATTTAGAAGTAAGTTTTCTTTTTTTTTTTTCTTTTTCCTTTTTATCAGTACCAGGGATCGAACTCACGACTGCCTGCTTTCAAGGCAGGCGCTTATGCCGTTGGGCTAAATCCCCAGCCCCAAAGTAAGTTTTAATAATGCTGGGATTCAAGGAAACTGGAAACTATGGATATTAGGGGATCTATCTATTACAATAGCTGAATGTTAACAGACGTAGTCAACTCAGACACTGGGGATATCAGAACACATTAGAATATTGAAAGGCCAAGTCCATAGATATATTGAAACACCTGAATGGATATTTTAGAAAAAGACACTGTAAAACCAGGATGCAGGAGACATTAAAAGATATGGGAAATGAACTATATAGATGTGATAAAAATATTGGGCAAACTAGATTTGGACACTATGAAATTTACAGACTCTAGAAAAATTGTATATAAAAATATTGAAGAATAGGAACTGTAGAAGATTTGCAAGTTAGAACTCTGAACTCTGAAAGACAAAATCCAGACCTTGAGGATTAGTGGAGGTATTGGAAGTGCTAGACTGTGAATGACTCTAACATTGGGGAAATTAGGAAACATGAGCACTGGGAGTGCTGGAGGCTGGATAATCTAGATGCTGTAATATGGAAAGATCTGGCTATTAGAAATGTTTTAAAGCTGCGAAACTTAGAAGATGTGAGTTAGAGACAATGAAAATGGAAAAGCCTAATCTCAGAGATATTTAAAGTTCATGATTGGAGTCCATGAGTAGAGCAAGGTCTGTAACAATGAAAGGCTTTTATCTAAAGGATCTAGATATTACATTAGAAGACAGACATGACTATTGTTTATGACTATAGCATCCCTTCTACTAAAAAAAATTAAAACACAGAGGAAAGACAATTTAAGAAACTGACAAAGGTGAAGCGGAGAAGATCAAATTAAAGCAAGTAATTTGAAAGGTGTGGAACCTCTCCTCATAGTCTGAAATTAACTAGCCTTCTGGCCATTCATGCACTGACGAAGAATAAACTGTATCAATGCTAAGGAAAATATTTGGTTCTATATGATGGTTAGGCAAATATTTTCTTTAAAGTATCACATAGTAAATATTTAAAGGTTTGAAAGCTATATGGTGTCTATTGCAACTATTCATCTCTGCTATTTTACTATAGCCATAGATAATAAATAAATGATTGGAGATGACTGTGTTGCAGTAGAACTTTACCTAAAGAATAACAATAGGGTTGGATTTGTGTGGCCTCTCATTTGACAAACCCTTGTCTAGTTGCCAAATCTAGAGTAAGGTACACTTAAGTACATCTCAGGCTGGCATTAGTATGTAAGAGAACAGAGATTGTTTCATAAGCTATGATGCTAGTGAGGAGATGAAGCTGGCAAGAATCTAGAAATGGAGTTTAGATCTCCAGGCTATTATTTCAGATCCCCATATAAGCAACCTTATATTCAGAGCCAAAACTCAATAGGTTTCATTCAGAAACTCAACTAAGAGGGTTGAAGGTCTGTGAAGATAAATTAGGATTAATTTAGCAGGCTGGACGGAGGCTTAAGAAGAAATTGAGAGGAGACTCCCACACACACCAGATTGGGCATGCCTGGAAGTAAACAAGAAAGAGATGATAACATGTCTGTTACATCTCAAGTACCTTGGTTTTAGGTAATACATGGAATTTCTGATCTTACACACCAAAACACAAAGGGAAAGTTTAAGCAATCAGAGATGACCTACAGGCTAAAGGTACTTATTATTTACACAAGGCTGAAGAAGACAAAGAAGGATCAAATACAATACAGGAAAGAGAACATAGGCAATAAAATTGGTAATGGTACACTGGGATTTGGCCATGATTTAAAGATATTCTAATATATAGACAATGGGCAGTCATTGGAGTTTTTTGAAGAAGGAAGTATCTAGATGAGAACTGTACACATGAAAAGCTAGTCAAGCTGCAAGGTGTTCAATGACTATATATATATATGAATACCACATATTAAAAGCTGACATGCTTAAAGAGTTTGAATGTGAGGTCACTAAAATGATGATGCTACGTGGTAGGAAGGGCTTGAGTAAAGGCAGTGACAATTGTATTGCTTAGAAGGCACAAGATTCATGATGAATACTCAGAATTCTAAATACCACTACTTTAAAATACCCAGATACAATCACAATTATGAGAAATACAAAGCATTCCAGATGTCACTTATGAGGAATCATCCTTGTGGACGGATCGTTTTCTAGATAATATGAGCGCATTCATGTTAAAAGTCAGGACTTCTAATCACCACAAAAATACCATCCAATGATAACCATATTATAAATACAGTATGAATGATCACTGCAGACCAAAAAGCAATTTAACAACAAAGAAAGTATTGTTTCAGGTATCCCTCATCAATAACAAAGAAAAATATTAGAATTCATTGCTTATTCCTTCTCCTCTCTAAAAAAACACCATGCATAATTTGTTTTCAGCAAAATTAAATATTACCATTTCATCAAGACAGGAACAAACTAACATCTTATATTTATATAATGTTTACCTGTTTTAATAATAAAGATAGCAACAATTTATTGAGCACTTACTATGTGTCAGGCACTGTACTAAGCATCTCATATAATTTCATAGGAACCCTACAATGTGGGTATTTTAACCCCATTTTACAGATTAGAAACTGAAATCTTCAGTGGTGAAGAAACACACCCACAGTCACACAGCTAGCAATTGGCAGTACCAGGATTCAAAAGCATGTTTTTCTGATTCCAAAATGTAGGCTCCATGCTAATGCCTCATATCCTTCTAACTCAAGGTTTGTGCTGCCATGACTAAGCAGTAAGCACCAAAGACGAAAAGTCCTTGACTCAGAGCAGACAGGAAGTCAATGAAAGACCTCACTCTTAAGTCTCAGTCATTCTCATTCTGCCATTCATTATCCCACTGTCAAATAGCCAAGAGTCAATTTCGTGTTTCCAATGATGTTCTACTTAGCAATAAAAGAAAAGTGCAATGTCTCAAATACACTACGCTCAAGATTCAATTCCTCAATATTTGTTATTAATGCTAATAAAATACATTGTTTATTCTTTTATCTTTTTTCTGTTCGATTGTATTGTTTGGCAAAATATGTACACTGTGTTCACAGTACACACTTATTTCTGAACCATAACGTATCAAGATCAAAAACCATTAAAAGAGAACAATACTATGTAAATTAATGATCAATATATTCATAATTCAAATAGTATTCACATAAGCTTTCAGAGTCCACACACTGTCAAAAATCTTTACTTAACATTCAGGCGATGGCAGCTACGTGATCCAAAAATATAATTTAAAAACCTTTCTCTCATTTTGAACTTAAAAAGATTTGAACCAAAAGGATCTTTTTACAAGTAATGTTGAGTAAGTCCTTGAGCTAATGTTAAGAAGCACAAGAAAAAAAAATTTTGCAGACATATTTAACCAGTGTAGCAAAAAAGCACAAAATAGAAAAATGAAGGTGAGGAGAAAGGGCAACCTAGACTGCTAAAATGTGAAGAATATATTATATTCTTAACATTAGCTCAAGGACTTACTCAAATTATTTCACAAAAAAAGATAGTCATCACCTAAACTTACTAAGCTTTTAGTACTTTCCAACTGGGAGAGAGGATAGTCTAAACATAAAAGAACAATACCTATTTTTACTGTGATGTTTCATCAAATTCTCCTTCTACCATTTATCCTCTACCACACTTTCATATCCTCCTATGTATTCTACCAACTTGTTAAATTTAACCATGTTAAAATGTTCTATCATTTACATTTATATAAATGTATTACATTACATTTTGTAGTACTTTTAGATTATTTTAACTAGATGTTATCTTAAGCAACAATTAGAGTCCCAAGTTTTATTTTAAATGATGTAGGCCCTAGACCAATGTTTCCATCTGTTATGCCCAAGTATAGGTATTCCTGCAAAAGCTATGTTCATATAACAGTCAGTTTAATCAATTTCATGCTTAATTATTTTGTACAGATTTTCAAGTTGGTGCAATTTGATATAAAATTTGATTTCCCTAATCCTGTTCCAATTATTAGAAAAAATATCCAATGCCGTAATCTCAGTGAACATTGCAATTATCCAAAAAGCCTATTATTTGAAGGCATATGGAACCGTTGATTATACTAATAAAAAGACTGCTGACTTAAAAAATATTTACCTCTAGAATAAGCACATTATCCATGGAATCTTAAAATGTTATGTGTACAGACTTTTTCAATTAGATTTGTGGAAACAATGATATAAAATGTTAAACTGTTTTACACACAACATCTATTCATTATTTTTCCCAAACCCAGAGAGAAAAAAAAAAAAAAGCATTGTTACAGGAAAAAAAAAAAAAAAAAAAAAAAAAAAAAAAAAAAAAAACAAAACACCTTCGTGGGATATTTTCTGTATTTAATTTCAGGAAGCTGGTGCTATGTCTGCATTTTCATTTGTGAACTCTTTAAGTCTAACTTTGTTTTCTAAGAGGAACTAAAATATGATAAAACTTAAATCATAAGCCCAATTTTTTTAAGAGTAGGAAACTTTATTGGAAAATAAAAATGGGGAATAGGAATAGCTCCTGAGAGACAGGAGACGTCCTGAATGGGTTGCTCAAATCCAGTTTAAAAAAAAAAATACAATGCAATAATGTTTCTATTTATATGGGTCTCTAGCAAAAGGGTTAGGTACTCCCAAAATTAACCAATAAGCTTCCTGTACCCTTCTGTCAAGGTAATATTAAAGAAAGGACCTTGGAGACCAAATGGTCCCATGTTCTCATTTGACAAGTAACGAAAGAGAGAAGTGCCTCAAATGAAACTATCCCTTGAAGTAGTAGCTGAATGCTTCTGTTTAAGATTTCCTACTTCATGGGTTTAGTGCCATCTGTCTAATATTTTCTGGCTGAATTCTGTTTAGTTTTACAACACTGAATTATACAAAGAATTGTTTGAGTAACTTGCAAACTATATAGATGCTGGCGCTATCAGTGGTTCAGCAAGTGCGGGGGCAGGACCCAGAAGCCCCAATTTTTCAAAGCTCTCATCGTGACTTTGATGCATACAGGGTATGCATAAGGGTAATCAGGGTAATCCATAAGCAACTCATCTGCCACTGTGGTGTCACTAGCTCCCTAGCACCGCGCCATGGGTTATCAACTCCTGCCTGCCCCTTTCAACCTTGTTGGAAGTATCCATCTTCCTCATCATAACCATTGAAGCAAGCCCTGTTTTCCTTTTTTAATTTTTTTTTCCCTGATCGCTTCTCATTCAGATATAGATAATCATTCATACCTCAAGATTAAGGGAGAAATTACTGGCTTCGCTCACTCCTAATCTCAATTCAATGTATGTCCAGTAAAGTTCTTGACATAATTGCTCAAAGGCAGCATTAATTCATGACTGTACAAAAATTTCATCATTCTCCTTTGTCATTTTGTTTTTTCAAGCTAAGTAATATCTCTTTATGTAATTTCATGCCAAAGAGTTGTCTTTATTCCTTTTGATTTTCTTGTGCATTATCATGAGATGTAATTATAGTATCAATGCTGTAATCCCCACCCGCATAGCAGTCAAAACAGAAGAAACAATACTATTCAGACTCTGTATGCCTATATTACCCAGAATAACAATCCAACTTAAAAACAAATATTCAGGTAAGAATGTACTGAAGCAGTCAAGGCACTGGAGAGTTCAATAAAATAAATATATGGGATTGAAGAGGAAATAAAATAACAATCTGGAGATGAATTCTCCATCATCTTCAGAGAACAGGATGTATCATCAGTGATAAGATATATCAGCAGATATATCAGTAGATATGGGGCCAGATCTGAGAACAGAGGGAAACTCTGAAAATGAACTCTATAAGCTCTTTCTTTTTGACAACGCACCAATGTAAATCCAGGAATTCATCATACATGTACTGTACTTCAGCAGTATTCGATGGCTAACTTACCTAATTGCTGTAAAACAAATTAACTTACACCAAACTAGTTGCTTATATTAAGATGGTTATGCTTAATCAGAATTAAAATAAACTTTATGGTCAAAAGAAATCAAATCGTCAAATTCAGTCTAGTAGCCCCCTCCTTAGATTCTAGAGCTAGTTCCTGAAACGCTCATAATACATATGTTGGAGGAATTTAAGATCGTTTATAGGGAAAATGGGGCCTAGAAGGAAGTATTGCAAAAGCTCAATTGGTCTGTTCACTCAAATAAAACATTAAACCAAATCTCAATGATAGCTTACAAAATTTGCATTAGATGTAGTGAGTATTGGGCAATTGATTTCCATTTCTCTCTGATCTCAAGGTTAAGATGATAATGTACAAATGACAATGGCAGTTATGATGGCAGTGATATGGAAAGGATAGAGAAAATCAGATTCTGTTTGACAAGAAGTAAACTCAGTCTTCAGGTCCACTTTCATACACCAGCAAATGGATCGCCACACTGTTAGAGCCATCAGAGTCTGAATCCCAAGATTCAACTATGTGTGCAGCGTTTGGACGGCATGGCAGAAGTCCAGATCCTGCTCCCCTGTTAAATAAGCAGAAAGAAAAGACTTACTGACCTCTGTTTGAAGATTTCTTATTACTTCTTTACAGAGTTGTGGATAATCACTTAAGCCTTGCCTGAAGGTCAATGTATATTCCACTGAAGGATCTCTGTCTTCTGAATCATCACAACAATTTGATTTGCTTTGAGCTCTGGTTGTTAACCTACTGTGGCCTCTTTTATCAACATTTTATGTGATCACATTTCTGAAATATTTCACAATGCTGTTTCACAGGGTGAGAGCCTAACAGTTCAGCAATGTTACTTAATCTCTTCAAAACTTCCACCAACCTAGGGTTTTGCAGCTGTTACAAAATTTTCAATTTTTCCACTATTGGAAAGATACCTTGAAAATTAGCTATCTCTTTATTTTAAAGTTTCTGCCAGTTTCCATTCAAACTTGACTGGTTTATTTCTCTCCTGGATTCTTTACCTACTGTTAAGTCATTAAAAATGGAAAAAAAATTTGTCACGCTACTATTACAATATAGTGTATCATGAACATTTTTAGTTCTATCAAAGGCAGGGGTCTGAGGAGTGAACTTGTATGGGGGCAAATGACAATGACTAGAACACAAGGATCAGCGATAACTCTCATACTCAATGTCCCGTTCAGAAAGCGTTTTTCAGTGGCTTAGATTTTATGGTTTCCACTCATGCAGGCTGAAACCTGTTCTTGGCATTCAGAGGGCAAGGACATTGGAATTTGTGAGCAACCTGAGATTAATAATGAAGTCACCAGCAGCAATGGAATGAAGTAGTCCTTTGAGGATGTCTCTTCCAGGGTTCAAATATCTGGTCCTTTTCTCACCCTTTGCAATGGATGTGCAAGTTGGTGTACACTTTCAGAATACAACTTTTCATCAGCACTGAAAACACGGTCAGGCAAACCATTTCTTCAATCGGTCTCTTCAGATACTCAGGATATTCTACAGCAGCTTCATGATCTGTTTCCTCTGCCAGTCATGAATGTTTCCCCGAGATAAAAGGTTAAACTTGCATTTTGTAATGCTCACTGGTAGATTATATATATGGAAAGTGGGCCATTTAATCTTCTCTGTTTTGGAAGAGTCACAAATGTGTATTTATTTCCACTGTCTCTATTTCAGCATTTTGAAGTATGTATAATCCTAGAAATTCTGAGGCATCCTTCAGTGCACTGGCCCTAACTGATTTCTCATTTTTCTTTTCTGTACAAATTGGGAATTCATTAATGCCAAAAATGCCCTTTGGAGATCTTGTCTTTCCCCTAGTATCAAGCATCTGAAACCTCTCATTTATTTGCCATCAACACTACCTTTCTCAAACTCTTCAGTCTTCTTTTTTTCCTAGTATCTACTTTCATTGTCTTTGGCTCGGAGCCCATTCGTATCCTAATTTATGTAAGTTTACAATTCAACTTTCACATCATTACGCAGTTTGCAATATTAACTTGTAATACTTAATAACCGAATGATAAATTCACAACACAAATAAGAAGGACTAGACAGTTTTTGTATGACAACACAAGGACATGATAAATGGCTGCAGAGGGAACAACAGGCATAACAACAAAGGGAGAAGCAAGCAACCCAAATGCCAGCCTTGTTGCATGAAACAGTCAGCAAGACAATATGATGGTGCTGTGGACTTGCGTATCGTTCCAAATCTCCCAAAGGTGTAAGAGGGTTAAACCAGATGCTGCACGACAATCTCTTGCAGTTGTGAAGGTATCATGAAACTCTGAGGTCATGCTCAGGTTACCAGGCCAGGGTCAGAACCACAAATGCCACCACCTAGAAGAAAGCAGACACAGAAGCAGGAAATGAAGTCAGAGCAGAAGTAGTATGAATGAATACCTTATGAGAGAAAAAGGCTAAAAATTTGGAATGACTGTACAAGCAAAATTGCTGCTACAAAGGTTTTACCAATTTGTGTGCTCACTAATAGGAGAGGGAAGTGATTTTTTTCCCCTGTGCTCAGCAGCATGAAACCTTATTGACCTTTGTGATCTTTGCCAATCAGAAGGGGAAGTATGAGATATTTCACTTTGGGTTTAATTTTCATTTCTCTAATAATCTTTTCATTCTAGTTCTTCATCTTTAAATTTCTGTGTATCTCCTTTTTCCAGTCTACTGATTTGTAGGCACTGTTAGCATTTTAGGGAACCTTATGATTTAATCATCTCTATATTGCCAATATTTTCTCCAAGACTATCATTTTGCTTTTTAACGTTGTTTGTCTTTTGCCATAAAGATATCTCAGCTACTATGTATGCCATAGGTGTTTCATATCTTGCTAAGAAAAGGCTTCTCCGGGGTAGGATAATAAAAACCTGTTCATTCATTTTCTTTTAGTATTGTTAGGGTTCTGTGGTAGTATTTCAAGGCACTGGGGAAAAGATGGGTCACCTGCAAATAGGTGTTGGGGTAAATAGCCAGTTGGCCATCCTACAACTGTCTGGAGCTCTCTATCAATGGATTTCTTTCTCTGCCCTAGAGTCAGAGGAGTTCTGATGGCATCAGCACTTCGAGGTGGCCAAAATAGTGACTCAAGCTGATCCTAGTTGACCATCATATTTCTCAGAGCATTATCATACCTTGGGGAGAGACGCATTTCCAAATGAATAATCAGTATACATGTTGTCAGTGTAAATCTTGCCCTTTTTCTAATCCATACTCCTGACCTATATGCCCTGAGTAACAGTAGCAAGTTCTCAGATCTCTGATTGTTTTATAAAGCCTTCACTAATAATTAATAAATAACCACAGATGGGAAAAACTGGAGAAATCTGAGTATGAGTAGGCTGTTAGATATCACTAAGTAATTGCAATTGACTCTTGGATAAAGTGATGGGCAAATATCCATATTTTGGTGGAATAACAAAGTAAATACATATTGATAGGCAGTTTATTTTAGGAAACTGTGTTAATTACTAAATCCATGTGGTTGGCTGGTAAGTAGACACTGACTAGTCTATTTCCTTATAGGTTTGAAAATTCTCGTTAGAAATGTGCATGTGGATATGTGGATGAAATATATATATATATATATATATATATAGCTTCTCAAGTTAAAGGATTACAACTAAATAACTGATCATTAGAGGAAAATTACTTTAAATATATTCCCCATATCAAGAAATTAGATTAGATGCTCAGGTATTGTGAAGCCTACATCCTAGAGTCAATTTAAAGGTAAGAAACTCAAGACTGGGGATGTATCTCAGTGGTAGATCACTTGCTTTATATGCAAAAGACCATGAGTTCAGTCCTTAAGACAATCAGTCAATGAATAAACAAATCAATAAATACCAAAAAAAAAAAAACTCAATTTCTATGCCTTCGCTGTTTCTACTGATTTAAGAAATAAAAAACATTTATAGCAATTTCCCCAGAAACCAGATTATTTGAAAATGAGGACCTTTCAACCTAGTAACACTAATACCAATTGTTCTCTATGCTAAACAATACATGGAGATTACATAAAAGAAAATAAGGAACACACCAGTGAGTAGGGAGAATGGCTGCTACATGTTAAGCTAAATAGCTGGGTAAAGCTCTCTTCAACCAATCTTCGGATGATGGAATATACCTATTCTCATGACATTTACTTTGGGTCAGAGTTTCACCCCATGTTCTCTGTCTTTACTAAGTGTCTTTCTCTACTGGAGGAGCCCTGCTGGGACTAAGCTAATGCAAAGACTAAGGCATCTGAATTAAACTTCCTGTGTTTCTTTTCTGTTCCACAAGCCATAAAGAGACTTGGAATTGTTAGGACACTAATAAATAATTGTGTAATCAAGTGTACTTGTTCTGAAAGTACTTCTCTCTAAAGTCCGGTAATATACAGGGTGGAGACTATAACGTCATTTGAACCCTTGTGAGGCCCAGAACCCCTGGTGGCTGCTGGAAGAAGAAATAAAGCCTGGCAGGTCACCTCCGGAATCAGGAGCTGGCACTCTACTGCTCAAGTGCTCAGAAGCTCAGGAGGATCTCAGGATGTTTTCCTCTGAACATTTCAACAGAAAAGAACAAGGACTGCTTTTCAAAAGGCCTGTGAGGATTTGTTTGGACAAACAGAGGACTCAATTAACTTTCGCTTTTGTTATAAAAGGATATTTGGGCTTAAGGGGTTGTTTTTATACAAGCTTCCCAGAACTCTCATTTTACCTTTCAAAAAAACTTAAAACCCACATACACATTCAGTGAAGCAGTAGGCTTAAAAAGCACAGGCCATCAAGAGTCACTCAACATTTTCAAATACAATGCCCAGAAGTAAAAACTGATGGTGAGCGTTCCACAAGGAATCTTTATTTTGGCCAAAATTCATCAGGTGGCCCCAGTGCATTAACTAACGATAACAAAGACAGCATTCAACTGACTTTTAAAAATAAGATCCACTTTTTCTGAAAGATGGATATCATCTGGCACTTTCTCCACTTTAAAACACTTCCCGAGTCCCCACAGCTTACTAAATGAAGTCCAACTTGTTCCTTCTGATGTCCCTGCAGGCCTTCCCATACTCATCTTTCACTAACTCTTCCCCTTCTTTTAGGTAAGTTACATGGCAGCTCTTAGTTCAGCACCACCTCCTCCATCCAGCAAGCTTTCTGGGTTCACTGGCTGACCCCGGAAGTACTAATGGATGCCCTCAAGACCTCACTTCCGGGCTCCATCTCACTGCAGCATTTTTGACCTTTCCCTGACTGCACTGCCCCCTGCTTCTCTGTGTTCTAAGCATTTCCCAACACCTTGACAGTGTCTGAACAAAAAGATCTGCTTTTGTAAGGTATACGTTCACAACGCTCAGTACAGAAACGGGATCTTAAAAAAATGGGTAGGATTTCCAGAGTAGGGAGAAAGAGGAAAGCAAATGGGAGGTGTGAGATGTGGGCACAGGCAGAAGCCAGAAAGTCCTGGGCAGCTATGAGGGCTAGGTGAGAGATGCGCTTGAAACTAAGGCTGGCAGAAGTGGAGTCAAACCCAAACTGGAAAAGTTAGAAAAGATCAATCGCAGAGAGTTTCAGACAGCAGACGCCTTTGATGCAATGGACTTATGTTGAACTGTCATGGTATTAATGAATGGTTTTATATTTGCAATGAATAAAAAGGGGATTTTATGTGAATCTCACCTACCTCCCTTGTTACAATATTTCAGCACAAACAGCACATAGGAAATTCTACTTCTTTGTAGTGAGGAGAAAAACACTGACCTCATTATATGTTCTGGAAATCACACTGGATTGTGGAATTAGTCCTTACAAATAGAAAACAGAGAATCGAAGACTAAAATGGTAGACACCTGAAGAATGCAAAAGATCCAGCCTAGAGAAATGTAAAGGGTGTGATAATTAGATTAAGGAGTCGATGGTGACTTTGAGAGTTGCAGAGGGCTCTGCCTTACTCCGCAGTCCCGTCCTACTCCTGCAAATCTTGTTCATTCTGCCTGATTTTACAAGGAAACCTAAGGCACTACAGTGAAATGGCACTGGGCTGCTGGCCTCTTTTTGAACTTGCCAATGACACTTCTGCCTTAGCAGGACCTTTATCCTTTTGACCTCCCCTCTCATCTTGGAACCTATTTTCCTTCAAGTAGATTTGTGTATACATAGGGCTTCAGTTCATCAGAGCCTTTGTTCGAAGGTCACCTCTTTGGGAAGACTTCCCTGATTGCTCCCTCTAAAATTACAATCTCCTAGCACCAGCTTGTTATTCTCCCAATTAGTACCTTGGTTAATTTGCTCTCTGGTTCAGAAACCCTTCAGCAGCCCTCTAGTATTTATAGGATACATTCTAACTTCCTTGGCTTAATGCTCAGTGTCCCATCCAAACTATCCTTCCTGCATTCTGGGCACCATAGTGCACCTTCTTTCAGGCAAGTTCTCTGAGAAGACTGACTTTCAAGTCATATCCAAGATCCCATTTATACCTTTGCCAACACTGTTTCTTTAGACTGGAATTTAACATTTCAGACAAGCCTATTTTGTAGATGTTACCATTACTCTGATCTCTATTTCATAGATGAAGAAACTGTAGCTCACAGTAAACTGTCCAACATTACATAATTCAGTAACTGCCAAAGGCCAGTATTAATGAGTCAGTTAGTTCCGAGGCTGGAACCTAGTGTCTCTTATATGCTAGGCAAGTGCTCTACTACTGAGCTACAAATCCAGATTTAATGTCCAATATTTAAGCCTAGCAGTCCTGCTCCAGACTCCACAATTAAGACTACACTGCACTTGAAACTGACGATCTTCAGATCTTATAATTCTTGACTGCTTCAAAATCTCCCTAACACAAGAATCTTCTGGTTAAATTATGATACCCAGAGAATAACAATGAGAAAAAGCATATCAAAATAAACACCTGAAAGAACTCATGGCTTTCAATACAAAATGTAAGTCTGAGCATCACATTCTGAACCTCCTTTTTGGCTCATGCATCCATATTAAAACTGGAGTAAGTACATTACAATTGATCTAACTATTCCATGAAATTGTCACAAATACTAGCTAAACACAATGAACATTTTGATCCAAATCCTGCTCAGATCATGTACAGTCTTTCTTCAATGTTTTTTGCTATAAATTGTTTAGATTTTTAATTCTTAAATTCCCACTGTATGGGAGACCAAATTTTACCAAAGATGTCTATATAAAAAACTAAATTGTATGCACCTACCAGTTTTCATTGACCCAAATGAAGAATAAAAATTCACATTATCCTTGTTTGAAATTTTAAATATCCTCTCTAAAGGCAAAAGCCCTATTTATGTCCAAACAGCTTAGATATAG